GAGATGCTGTATTCCTGACTGTGCACACTGGTTTGCAATGGGAGTCCTTCACTGATGCTGCAGATTCAGGAGCATTCAGATTGTCCAATGGATTCAGTTTGAATTGCTACATCCTGTTGTCTTCAAAGGACCTATTGGGCCATTTTTGGCAATTAACCTCATTGTCTTGTGGGTGGAGTGAGTGAGGGGTTTGTTACAGTGTTGCGTCGTAAATCCAATTTTACTAGTTGGAATGTTTCTCAGCACTTTGCAACTTTCAATGCACCCAACCATTGGGCAATTGCAGGATCTGAAATGCCTGTGTTGACTTTTCATTGTGGAAATGTGATTTGGCAAATGCTTGCAGTTGGCTTCAAGTCTTTTTGTGGAAGATTTAGCATATCAAGCGGCACTTATTGTAGCTTGGATAAATATGAGTGATACAGGTACAAATAATGGATTTTTTATCCAGACTCTACTCTGTATGCTTTGAAATGACGTTCAATTCACTTGTGGGAAACATAGCAGTATTATTCACTAAAAAGCCAGCGGATTTTTTCTCCTCTGACTGATTTGAAGTAATGTTTCTGGATGCTGACGACTGAGCTAGGTGCCAGTTTAATGAGTGCAAGGCATCTTGCCAGGACATGACCATGTGCAGTTAGCAGCATAATAGAAGTTTCACTGTCACTGTTATTCTTACTGTATGCTAGTATAATAACTCTATTCTGTCGGTAAAGTTTAACTACTTCTAATGCACCACATCGCACAAATGAAAACAAGCAGTAAGCCTAACAAAGAAATTCTGTTACTTCATCTGTGAAAAATGCATTGCCTCATGTTGATGGAAATGTAACCTTTCTTCTAATAAAGTGAAGCCTTGCTAACTGGGCATGTTCTTTGTAATGGTATATTTTTTCATTGTTAGACTACTAGGAAAATTTGGCATCCTTTAGAGGAGATATCATTGCAGATCCAACACACATTTGGAATGAAAATGCTTTGCACCACAACAAAGCAAAGAAGTTTCAAGTGGAAAACAAGTAGAATGTAAGAGCCAAATATGTCCATGTTAGATTGCTGTTTAGTTTGAAAGTACTACAAGTTTTATATCAGAATTGGGATCAAGAATCAAAGCGTCAAAGTAACATCAATGTTATCAGGTTCCAATTGACCTGCAGTAATATAATTATTTCATATTGCTTAGAGTGTATGCTACATTGGCAGCTACCCCAGGGAATACCACAGCTTGCAGTTTTCTTCCAGTGAATTAAGCAAATATATTTAATATATAATGAATAACATACCAATTAAACCAATTATTATGCATCAGAGGCAGATGAACAAAGCCAATCTCTCATTTGTGCCAATTAAGCCAAGTCCATTGTCCTTGACTGCCACCACCAACTCCATTTCCCAGCCACTGACACCATCCTTCTCTTTAAGACTATCATTCTTTCTAACTACATGAGGATAAGGCAGACTGGTCACAATCCCTGCTGTATAATTGATATTCAGAAGAGCTTCTGAACACATATTCACACCATTACTAAGACTGCCTTTCTCCCTCTCTGTAACATCTTTCAATGCCACTCTGCCTCAGCTTATCTTCCGCTGAGATCTCATCCAGGCCTTTTTTCAAAAAAAAATTCCAGACTTGATTATTCCCTGGCCTGCTGGATTTCTTCCACCCTCTATCAACTTAAGCTCTTCGAAATCTTTGCTGCCAGCATTCTGTTCACCCATCATCCTTGTGCTCACGGGTCTAAACTGGCTCCCAGTTACACAATGCCTTGATTGGAAAAGTCTTGCCATTGATTTCAAATCCCTCCATGGCTTTATCCACCTTATCTCTGTAATCTTCTGCAGCACTACAACCCTCTGAAATACTTAATCATCTCTAATTCTTGCATCTTATAAATCCCAATTTTAACTGCTCCACCACTGGTGGTTGTGCATCCACTTGCCGAGTCCCTAAGCTCTGTAATTTGCTTCCTAAATTTCTCTGCTTCTCTATGATTCCTTCCTTCATCCTTATGAAGCTCCTTAAAATCTAACTCTTTCATCAAACCTTTGGTCATCTGTTGTAATCTTAGACTTACAGATATTTATCAAATCATCAAGATATTACAGAAAGGTTAAACATGCCTAATAATCTGTAATGCAACAACTTTTTTGGCACAAGAGATGGAAAATGCAAGAAGTTCATAGGAACTTTCAAAGCAGAGACTGTATAGTGTCGAATGAGTTCACTCCTAATGAAGTGTGATTGTATTGCTGCAAATACCCTGGATAGCCATTTGAAGGTAACATACAGGGCTATGGAATAACAGCTAAAAAGTGGGAGAAGGATGGACACCTTTTTTTCAGCTGGCATGAATACAATGTGACCATTGACACCTTTCTATGCTGTCAGGTTTTCTGTGTTTGTAAAGAGGGAAAAAGGTGATGATACAATGAAAGGAGAAGGCTAGGTGAAAAATTGATATTTATACTATATTCTGATTAATCCGTAAACTGAAATGTGATTTGAAAATGCCAAAATATCTGAGATACAATTCAGATATTATAGTCTGGTTTCAGGTTATTTAAAGCATAAATTTATGATGAGAAGGGAAAACTCAGAAAAGACGCCAGGAAAAGTTCTTTAAGATGATAAAGATTACTATTTGGAGTAGGTTATTCAGAAGCATTAAAGTGGGAGATATTATATGTTTCAAGATATATTCTTGACAAACAGTGCTATCAAAGGATATGGCCAATAAAGTGGGATAAGAATGTTTTGAATAAGCCCCATGGATGTACATGGGTCTATCCTTTGTTCTGAAAGATGTTGGGGCATCTTTGCCCTGATTAGCCGTCTCAGAGATTGGGAACAAAGTGGGATATGATGGTATATGAGATTGCAGCATCTGGAGGACAGCACAAGCATGGATAAGTTAGACAGCCCATTCTTTCTCCACTTTTTGTACAATCCTAGCTCAGGCAAGAATACTAGATTCACATACAAAACACCTCAAAGCTATACGGGGAAAATTCACTTTGGGAACCTGGGAGTCAGAATTAAAGTTAGCCGAAGAGCTTTCTTCATCCCAATGCACTCTACAAACTTTTTGCACATCATCTGTCACCTTACTTTATCCCCAACCTGTGACACAGTGGCTAAACATCCAACTGTCAGAAAGACATCCAAAGATAAATTACTGTTGGCTATTATTCCAATCTACTGCGTCAATTCAACATTCACACAGAGCAATATATGGTAATAAATGCAAATGAACATTAACAAATACTGCACGAGAGAGTGAAGGTGAAGTATAGAGACACTTAGACAGATGGTCATGTTGTCCCTGCCCTATTGCTGTTTGTGGTGACAGAGCTATCCAGGGATTGATGTTTGTCTTCCAGCATGGCCTCTGAATCACAATGTCACTAGCTGAAATGGCATTGCAAGATTTTGAGCAGATAATCTAGATTGGCTGCTTGGCAAAACTTCCTGTACTCTGCTGAAAAACATAGATTTAATGGGTCCTCAAGGGCACACATTTAATTTCACAAATCTGCATATGCATACAGCCTTTCTGAATGATTGAACAAATATTTATCCTCTTCCTCCCTCAATGTTTCTCTCTTTATTCTGAATAATGGTCATTGGGCCCGAAACATTAACTCTGCTTTCTCTCCACAGATGCTGCCAGACCTGCTGATTTCTGTTTTTGCTTCAGATTTCCAGTATCCGCAGTTCTTTGTTTTACTTATCTCTTTATTCCTCCCCTGCTGGTAGGAGCACATTGACTGCTCTCGGCGGTCCTGCTCAGTTAGATAATTTTCAGGTGTGAGTCTAACTGTGGGTGTTAACAATATGGGGTTTCACAATCATTGCCTGACCCTGTTCCCATTGAATGCCTATACATGTTCATTTCCAGTAGCAATAGTTGGATTATGATTGAAAGAGGGAACCCTGGAGCTTTAACTCCTATTTTTATTGTCTTCATGGAGATTCTGAGATGGGAGATGCGCTTCACACTCATTACTAATTTGTAACTTTTCGCTTGCTCGTGTCATTTTGAAGAAGCTTTATTTGATGTCAGTGTGACAGACCAAATATATTTTCAGCACAATCCCTTTTCAGTCTCTACTGATACATTAGAACCTAATGTTCCGAGGCTACAAGATTTCTTTGTCCTCTGTACAACTTTTATTCAGATATCAGTGCATGATTTGAATGTTGATACTGAAAGTTGAAGTCGAATAGAGAATGCCATTTTGTATTCAGCAAACTGTACAGAATATGTTAATCCCCAATACTGAAAGTTATGGGAAAATAAATTCAGAAAATGTTCAGATTAGTCAGCCTGTTGTCTGAAACATTCATTTATTGTTAAAGGCAAGGAGTTTCCATCAAAGAGATGGACCACAGGTCAACACAGAGACCAGACTGAGAATCACATAGTGAACAATGATTATCAAATGAATCATTCCCAATTTATGAAATTATCACCAATCTGTAATGAAAAACAATAAATCTGTGGGATTCAGAAGATAGCCAAATTACAACTTTGTTAAAAATGGAGAGAAAGATAAATTGATGAACTACAAGTCACTTAGGTTGATGTCAGAAAAGGAAGTGATGGATTCTAACATCAAAGGCATTGTGTAAGTGCTTGTCAGGTAAAAGGATTCAGAGACAGAGGGTGGTAAAGGGATTTAGAGACAGAGGGTGAGGATAAAACCCGCCTAAAAATTGAGATATATTAAAAAGACAAAATTGCCATAATAAATTGGCACAGTAGTTACAACGACTCATGTTTGGATGTCTCTGTCCCTCACTTTGCTAGTGTGTTCAAAATATGTAACAAAAACTTATCAATTACTGATATAAATTGAGATTTGATATTATTCATAAAAGTTTTTAATAAAATGCATGGAAATCTTATTATAGAATTTTCTATTAGCAAGTAACTTAGAGTAAGCATTGTCTGTTTGAGTTGAGACTAATTTTTTTTATGTTTGATCCGCAGGTTATTCATTCTGATGCCTATTACTGTAAAACTATCCTCGATGATAACAGTTCCTCCGCCCTCATCATTCTCGGTTTTGTCCTAATGTCTCCCCTGATTGTTATTGCCATGGTGACCTACTGTAGTGTGGCACGCCGTCTGCGTCTCTTCCTTTGCTTCCTACCTTACTCCCGAGCCATCTACAAAGGGATGAAGTGGACTGGGCATGACAACCCTAGTTTTTGTTGCTGTGGAAAAGAATGGGACAGCAATTTGAAGGCTTGGGTTTGATCAAGTTTGAAGATAAGTTGTATGTACTGCAGCCTATTACTGCGTTTGCAACATAATTGTGTGCTCCATGTTCTGTTTCCTGCATTGTGAAGTTATTGACAGTGACATTTTTGTATTAAGATCAAAGGAGTGATTGCTGGGAATACATACCAGGTCCCTCTGCAATGGTAAAGGGAATAGAAAGATTGATGTCTTGGGTTGAGAGGTATCAGGGTTAAGATATCATTCTGAGCTGTTGTGTAGTTCCAACAATGACAGCTTCCCCCCGCCCCGTCTATTTTTAATGCTATAATTTTAAGTAGAAAATATTTATTTATTCCAGTCTCTTTCAAGACAAGTAGCCTCATGCATTTTCAATTATTTTTACTAGCTTTGTCTACATTAAACACATCTACGTGCTATGTTTGTGCATCTGAATGTTTTAAGCTGCCGATGTAAACACGCCACACAGTAATGACAACCCCCCGTCCAGTTGAGATACTGCAGCACTAATACTGCCGGGAGGTTTCTCTGCATTATCTAGCGTGGGTTTGTCACTGATTACAGCAAAAGGCCCAATCACTGGGAGGGAAGCTTATTAGGAACCCGAAAGGAAGCATGCCTGTTTCTCTTGGCCCACAAGCCGTGCTGGACAAGGACTAAACTATTCCGTGGAGCAGTTCTAGCCTCACTGCCAGATTATATTTAAAGTGGAGGGAGAAATCTGAGTTACATGTTTAAATGAGCAACCCACATCTGGGAGCAGACTGATTAGCCATCATTGTCAAAACTATCACTGGGCAGATTCGCGGATGGGGTTTGTTTGTTTGAGTTATTGTTGTCACATGTACTGAGATACAGAGCAATGGGTTGTTTTGCGTACTACATAGGCAGATCGCACCATTAAAAGCGTGTCAGGGTAACAGAACAGTGTTACAGAGAAGCTGCAGACAGCGAGATCTAGATTTAAGATTTTTTATGAATTATTCCATCCCACTCAAAGCTTTCCATTTCTTGTAGGCTCAGTAGGTTAAAACCCCCTAATTAGGAGCAACACAATAAATGAGCTGGTAAATGACATGATTGTGCAGACTTTTTTTTCTTTGTTTCTTAAACGTGCCTGTCACCAGCAAGGCCTGCATTTGTTACCCATTGGTAATTGCCTTTGAACTAAGAGGCTTAAAGTGAAGGGTAAACCTCACTGCTGTGGATCTGGAGGTAGGTCAGGCCAGGTAAGGAAAGCAGATATCCTTCCTTAAAGGATTTATGTGCATCAGATGAAGTTTTCCAACTATCAGGATAGTTTTTTATTAACTCTAATTGCAGATTTATTAATTGAATCAAATCCCAGCTATGGGATTTAGACTCACACTCCAAGACCATTAGCCTGGGCCATGAGATTATTAATCCTGTGACATTACCACCACACCACTGTCTCCCCTCAGCTCACGCCTGTTGTTCATCAGTAGATCCTTGATTTCTGCTATTACTTCATGCACCAAACCACTTTTATCAATTAGAAAGTAGCAGTCCCAATTTCCCATTAACAGCCACCATCAGAATACTTAATATAAACCGAAAGAACTGCAGATGCAAATCAGAAAAATATTTAAAAATTGCTGGGTCACTTGGCCTGAAATGTTAACTCTGATTTCACTCCACGGATGCTGCCAGACCTACTGAGCTTTTCCAGCAATTTCTATTTTTGTGTTGGAATACATAATGCTGAGAGTACTGTTAATGGGCTGTGGTGCAATGACCCACTGTTCTACTCTGTGGCAGAACAGCTAAAATATAGTGTTTGAAAAATAGCCTGAAGGAAAATTCCACAAAAAGAAATATCTACAAGAACATTGGATTTAAAGTAATAAAATAGGATTTCAAGAAAATAATTTTTAAAATCTAGATCGATTATCTTAACGTCAATAGTTCATTGCCAAATTCAGAGTTCCCTGACCATTTTCCTAAATACCATTGAAATGAGAATGACAGAGTAGAACTTGCTGTTTAGTTCAACACACTTCAAATACAGGATGGCTGGCAAAGGAAGAAAGCATTGTGCAATTGTTGTCAAATTAAAAAACAGGGAAAGGTTTTTTTTTCGATGCAAAGCTAACAACTTCTAAATCTGTTGTCCCAGGTTGCTTTGAGGATATTATTCTATACATCCAAACAGCCCCAGCATGTAAATTCTGGTCTGTATTTACAAGTCATGACCCTTAAAAGTGTGTGAGTGTAAATCCCATCTGTGGAGAAATATTATGGGAGGACAAATATCTAGAACTTAAGAGATTCACTTTACCTTTGTGCCTCAATCAATTCAGGAATAGAGAAGCAAGAAGCATGGTTTATGATGGACTCATTCTCTGTGTTGTTGAAAGCATGGCGATGCTTGCCTGCGGTGCCCCTGAATATCAATATTTGGTTTGTATGTTTGCTGATGCTTTGACATGATTGTGAAAACCAGTGTCCTAATCATCAGTTAATACTGAAGTGTAAATAACAGTTAATATATGTTGCTTGTTTGTTCAGATATCTTCTGAAATGCCTGAAGTAATGTTCAACCAGAATAATTTGCTATCACTGTCTTGCATACCTAATAACATGATCGTTTTAATTCTTTGCTTGCACCAAGACAACCTGCTTCAGGTTGGACAGCATGCAAGCACAAAATTGACAAAATGCAAACTGTTAAAAATAATTAACTTGTAAAAATGCTAAATGAATAAATGTGACTGTATGCATAAACTGGGAGTATGAAGCATCTTTACTTGAAATTTCTTAAAGTTTTGAACAAAGTATTTTCAGTGACTCCCATCTTCCACATGGGCAGTGAACAACTCTAAAACCTAACTCCTGCTATTTGACTATTCAACAATAGTATGACTACACTCATTTAGGAGGTTTCTGAATCTCATAGAGTTGTACAGCATGGAAACACAGCCTTCGATCCAACTCGTCTATGCCAACCAGATATCCTATATTAAACTAGTCCTATTTGCCATATCCCTTTAAACCCTTCCTAGTCATGTACCCATCCAGATGCCTATTAAATGTTGTAATTGTACCAGCCTCCACCACTTCCTCTGGCAGCTCATTCCATACACACACCACCGTGTGTGTGAAAAAGTTGCCTCCTAGGTCCTTTTAAATCTTGCCCCGTTCACCTTAAACCTATGCCCTCTAGTTTTGGATTCCCCAACCCCGGAAAAAACACCTTGGCTATAGCCTCTCCCTATAGTTCAAACCCTCCAGTTCTGCTACATTCTTGTAAATCTTTTCTGCACCCTTTCAAGTTTAACAACATCTTTCCTATAGCAGGGAGACCAGCATTGAACGCAGTATTCCAAAAGTAGCTGAACAAATGTCCTATACAGCTGCAACATGATCTCCCAACTCCTATACTCAATGCATGGACCAATAAAGGCAAGTGTACCAAACACCTTCTTCACTATCAAAGATAGAAATTGCTGGAAAAGCTCAGCAGATCTGGCAGCATCTGTGGAGAGAAATCAAAGTTAACATTTCGGATTGAGTAACCCTTCCTCAGAACTTCTTCACTACCCTGTCTACCTACGACTTCACCTTCAAGGAACTATGAACCTACACTCCAAAGTCTGTTTGTTCAGCAACACTCCTCAGAACCTTACTATTAAGTGTATGAGTCCTATTTAATCTGTCAGTGCCAATGGAATATAATTACAATAGTGGCTATTACTAATGTTGATATTATAGCAACATTTGTCAAAGATGGAGATATAACACCAACATCTATCATTGCAGGTGGAATAATATTATGATGTTGACATCAACCAACACTGGAACAAAATCACAATAATATTGATAGCTCTTAATGTTGACATCATGTCATCACAATACTACTTCTCGGAGCTGTTATTTTATCATCACAATTTGAACATTTATTATTCTGGCATCAAGGATAGGCTTTGATCTGGACCTACCTCTGCTGCTGTACATAACCAGTGCATACCTAAACTAAGAGCACTGAAGATTAATGGGAATTTGTACATAGGCCTGAGCAAAATCAATAGTGTCAGCACTGGTCACACATCCACAGGTAACATGTCTGAATGATGAGATCAATGTTGAGGTTCACTAGGATGATCCCTGATAAGGATGGATTGTCTTATGAACAAAGTCGAAGCAGGTTGGGACTCTACTCACTGGAGTTTAGAAGAAGGAGAGGTGATCTCATTGAAACATATAGGATTCTCAAGGGGCTTGACAAGGTAAATGCTGAGAGAATGTTTGCCCTCATCGGACAGTCTTGGAGCAGATGGCATAGTCTCAGAATAAAGGGACACCAATTTAAGACTGAGATGAGGAGGAATATTTTCTCCCAGACAGTTGTGAGTCTTTGGAGCTCCTTGGCACAGACAGCTGTGGGGGCAGAGTCCTTGTGTATATTTAAGGCCGAGACAGATAGATTCTTGATCAAATAAAAATCGAAAGAGCTGCGCATCCGTAAATCAGGACCAAAAACAGAAGTTGCTGGAAAAGCTCAGCAGGTCTGGCAGCATCTGTAAAGAAAAATTATATTTAAGCACAAAACCAACTTCAGAAGCAGTTGGAAATTATATAACCACATATTCCGTGAGTACACAAGTTATATACCTTGGGTGTCAGGAATATTATTCTTAACAGATTAATGTTATTCTAAACAGACTCAAAGATTTCGGATCTTGAAAGATGTGTGTGAGAGACCAGATTTATCATGTAAATTGTATTTTATTCCTTCCACAGGCTTGGATATTCGTGATTTACAAATATAATCTCTACAGTTGCACAACAGATTGGTCTTGGCAGGGTTTGATGCATCCAACTGCACAACCAGCCAGGATACAGTTGGTTACCGTTCCCTTATCAGTTTCCTTTGGGTGTTGAATTGTTTTTGATCTAGACTCATTCCCTGACAGCAATATGTGCATAGCATTGAGCCTGCTCCTGCACATTCAAAGGTGCCTTAATCTCCTGGAGTGGAGGGCATCCTAATTTCCTCA